CTATTGAGTTCAAATGGGGTGGGAAGAGGCAGTCTTCCCACTAGTATAAATATAACCAGTTGGTCAGATTCAACAATATTAATTATTTCCTACCCCCATAAAGAGTGAATTGGCAAAACAACTCTGTGAACCAAAAATATGTTTTTAAAACTACCAGCTGTTTTTTTAGTGTATATATTTCCTTTATGGAGTAAAATTCTAGTACAGAATCCCCCAACCTTTCTGGCTTTATGGACCACTGGAGGGTGGGATGTTTCCAAGTGAATGGCGGGCACAAACGCCCGCTGTTGGTGCAAATGGAGTGTGTATGCATTTGCTTGCCTGCTGCTCATGTGAGTGGGGATGTGTACGCTTGCCTGCTTGCCACTTCCATGGCCCTGTTCAAAATGGCTCAAGGCCTGGAAGTGCGCTAGGAGTTGGGGACCCTTGTTCTAATATATAGCTCTTTAGACTTGATCCCCCAATAGCATTTATAGTGACCACTATAAATCTTGCCATTTAAAAAAATGTTCTGTGGATAGTCATTTAACAATGATTGCTAGTTTTCTCTGAAGATATAAGATTGTCAGTTCATTTTACTATATATGTTTAGGTAAAGTTTTTAAAATGTCTGGCTTTAAAATACTTAAGCAATTCTTAGTGTGTTGGTTATACTTCCCTTTAACATTTTAGTTTAGCAAGGTTCTTTTATTTTTCAGTATTACAACTTGTTCTTCTGATATTGAGAGTCATATGTACACAAAATGACATCATACTCCACAAGAAGAGAAGAATCTGGAAGGCTGTAGAAAAAAAATACTTGTAAAAAGTTAGCTGTCACTATCACTCATTGATACAAGGTGCTGAGTTCTGGACAGATCCAGATTGTTCCTCAACCTACACACAGCCCTTTTATATCATAAGTAATCAATAACTGTCAAAAAGTCAATATTAGCCTACAAGACCCAGGCCAGGTCCAGTGCTTCCAAGGGGTGTTTAATGCAAAACTCTGCGGCAAGCATACCACCAGAGAGTTCTTCGGTGTCATAAAGCCAATTTATGGTTCTTCTAAATCAGGATGCTCCCCCTTGCAGTCATCTGATGGGTTGAAGTTGATCAGAGACCAAGAAGGATTGAAAACCGCTAGGCTGAACAATTGTCAAACCTACTCCATTGGCTCATAATGTCTTACAATAGATTCCTCAGCTGCCAATCTTGGATGCCAGTTTGGTGTAGTGATTAAGACAACCAGTGGACTGTGAGTTCTAGTTCTGCTTTAGGCACAAAGTCTCATTTGGGTGATCTTTTGAAAACCTTGCCAACAAAACTGCAGGAACTTGTTCAGGCAGTCTCTCAGAATTGGACATGATTGAATGAAGAAAAGTAGATTGCCTGATGAGAAAGTGGTGAGACAGCAGATAGTGAAATGGAATGTTCTGGAAAAGGCCTGATTGACTCTTCTGTGCTGCAATGTATATTACAGGTCCCATTTGTTAGAACTTCTTGTTGCGAAGTCGTGTCCGACCCATCGTGACCCCATGGACAACGTTCCTCCTAGCCTTCCTGTCCTCTACCATCTTCTGGAGTCCATTTAAGCTCACGCCTACTGCTTCAGTGACTCCATCCAGCCACCTCATTCTCTGTCATCTTCTTCTATTGCCCTCAATCTTTCCCAGCATTAGGCTCTTCTCCAGTGAGTCCTTCATTAGGTGGCCAAAGTTGAGTTTCAACTTCAGGATCTGGCCTTCTAAAGAGCAGTCAGGGTTGATCTCCTCTAGGATTGACTGGTTTGATCGCCTTGCAGTCCAGGGGAGTTGCAGGAGTCTTCTCCAGCACCATAGTTCAAAGCCCTCAATTCTTTTGCGCTCAGCCTTTCTTATGGTCCAACTTTCACAGTCATACATTGCAACTGGGCTCCAAGATCACCACAGATGGGGACTGCAGCCAAGAAATTTAAAGACGCTTGCTCCTGGGGAGGAAAGCTATGGCAGATTTAGACAGCATACTAAAAAGCAGAGACATCACCCTGCCAACAAAAGTATGTATAGTCAAGGCCATGGTTTTCCCAGTTGCAATGTTAGAACTTACCTTTTCTTTAAAGTATATATTTCTGCATTTGTTCTCTCTCTGCTTTAGCTTCCTAACCTACTACCTGAGGTAGACTTAATTGGGAGATAGCAATTGATTTAAATCTGAATCTCATAGAGTTACTAACCATTTTATATCAAGTCATTATTTGTTCTAATCATGCTGAGTATGCCTCTGAGTTCTCATGATACAACAAAAGCAATCAAATCATAGAATGTGTGATTCTATTTTTTATTTCACTGTGTCTTTCAAGCTGTAATAGATAAAGTAAATAGATTAGTCTAAATAAGTCACATATTAAAAGCTTGACTTACACTAACTTTTCTTTTATTCTAGTATTAAATGTTCTGATTTTTCTCATAATGACAACATTGTAAATTAAATAGATTTAAAACATGGCTGTTCATTGGCCTTTTCATTCAAAGCCAGCTTCAGCCATAAATAGATTGGGAGCTTCAGTGGAACACTGCTAATAACAAGTATGGTCCAATTAATTTGCTTTTTCATGTAAAACTAACAAAAGGGAACTAGCCTTATTTCTTCATGCAATATGTTTAGCTTTTTAAAAACTTTGTGGATGTTGAGCAACATAAATGTGCCAGTAGTTTCCTTTACAGCTTATCCGTTAACTTTATTTTGGGAAAATGTTGTAAAGAGGCTGTTCCACCATGACTGACTCTTTCCTTTTGCTGCTTGGCTCCTTAACTTGTTTTCTCTTTCCTGACTTTGTTATGCTGAACAGAGCATTCTGGCACAAGGTCTTGGATAAGGAAGCTGTAGAGTTTGTTAGATCATTCATCAACCTTCTCTTGTGTTTTCTGTTCTGAGCAGTGGCCTCCCTGGATTCAAGCAGAAAGAGCATTCCTAGCTCTGCTTTCATGGCAATTCCATGGCAATGATTTAAAATATCTTTGTCCAGATCTTATAACTAAAACAAAAAGCAGAGTAGCTTATGCATATCACTAGTCAGATGGTCCCTTTCTGTAGATTTAGAATAGAATAGAATAAAAATTTAAAAGATATAAAACATAGCAAAGTTGTGTGGAGAGAGGAAAGGTCAACAGCGTAACCACTAGCGGTTAAAGTTACAGTTCTGTGATCAGCTTGAATGCAAACAATTCAAGTAGTATGTTGAAATGTTGCTAGATGATACTGAGTGTTGGCTATGGGAAGGTCTGCATGAATAATATATACTTTTATCATTGTGTAGAGGCATGTTTCCAATATTCTTGGTATGTAGAGAGATGAATTTTGCTATTTATGTGTGTTACTCAGGTTGAAGGTATTCTTTTTTCCTCCTTTAGCATTTGAATAGTAGAATATGGACATTGGATTAGCTCAATTCAAATATAATCTGCAAATCCAAACTGTACATTTTAGGGGATGGTTAATTTCTTATGTCATACTTGTCATTATTCCAAAGTTCTGTTGGGCATAACATTTATTTATTTAATTGAGTGCTTTTGTACCCGAGACAAATTCTTTGTGTGTCTAATTACACTTGGCCAAATAAAGTAATCAGTTCAATTCAGTTTTCTACAGGTAGTCCTTGACTTATGACCATAGTTGGGACCAGTATTTCTGTTGCTAAACAAGGTGATTGTTAAGTGAGTCATGCCCAATTATATGACCTTTTTCGTCACAGTTGCTGTTTTTAACTAACTTGGGTGAATCACTGCTTAACTTGACCTTAATGCACTTCTCTTTCGTTTTGAAGAAAGATATCCTTTTCAGCACATGGCATATGGTTTGCTGTTTTGAAAACACAAGCCATTCAGAAGAAGAAATTTATTATATGTTTCTCCAAATGTTGGCCAGGATGTTGAGTGAAATAACTGGTATTTAAACAAAATATTAAGATAGAAATAGCGAGTAAGCATGGTTTTGGCCAAAATATTTATTAAATTTCTACACTACCCATCTCACCTAAGTGACTCTAGGCAGTTTACAATTAGTGGTTTCATTGTTTTTATGTAGTGTTTTTATATGTTAGTTGTGCACTGAGTCAAAAGGAAAGGTTCCTCAAGATTAATTGGATTCTCAAGTATGGTTAGATGATTTTGGTGGGGATGAGACTTATATTAACCCTTTTCTGAAGCCAAGAAAAAAGTGTGCTAAAGACATGGCAGTGAGCAAGGCAGAAAAAAGTACTAATGGGGCTATGTCATGGAAGGAGGTGAGATTGGAGTTTTGGTTTATTTTTTGCAGTTTGAGAATGGTATTTTTGAAATTAATATTTTACAGTGTGTACTTTCCTTTCCCACCAAAAGCATACCTTTTTATAATGATAATTTCTGCTGTATTTCAACAATAACACATTAAGGAGCTCTAAAAACTCTTAAAAAAGCAGCTCAGAGCAGAAAGTGTGCTGTGGGTTAGAATATACACAGGCAACAGATAAAGTACAAAAGAATATTGCCACTAGTTTCTTTAGTTTATTAGCCAAAAAATGTGTAGCATTACTTTCAGCCTAGATATTTATGTACAGGTCTGGTATAGACAAATAGGATCATGATCATGTGTATACTTAGCATAGGCAGGGATCCATGTAATCCATGAGTTTTTTGTTTACTTGAGAAGGGAACTTTTCATTTAGCTCTGTAAAAGTTTTAAGTAGATAACTGACAGCACTCCAGGGTAAATAAGATAGGAAACAAAACTAGGTGAATTAAATCTACTTTATTGTAAAGCTACATTAACAGAATCTCACAAGTCTGAAAATACAATATTTTCACCCCCACTTTTAACTATTTGATCCATTAGGATGGGTCCTATCTTGTCTGATTCTTTCCTAGGCAGCATCTCTTCCCTGCTATCTCCAAGGCCATTTCCATGTTCCATTACAATCACCCTGCAATAAGCAATCAATAGAATGTGTGTATATTCATGGACTCTCATAATTTGGGTTTTGCCTGATGTCTTATGTCTTTCAGTGCTGGAGGTGATCAGTCATGGCAAGTGAAGCCATCATGATGATGCGAGGGCTGACAAAGCTCAGTAAGGCAGTCCTAGAGACCCAGGCAGGTCAGCTCCGACAAGTAATCCTTGGTGGGGATACATTAACCATCGTCCGAAGCTTTCAGGCGGTTGCTGAGGAACAGTTCAGTGCTGCTATGGGGAAAATGCAGGTAAAAATATTGCTATGTATTTGTTTGATTTCGCTTGTCTCTTCCCCTTTCAATTGATAAATACTTGCTGTTGTCTTTCCCCCCCATTCCTTGCATGTTAAAAGCATAAGAATTTGTTATTCAGCCTTACTTGGGATTTTCAATATATACTGAAACATTTTTAAAATGCATTTGAAAATAATATAGCTACATTGCATTGGGAATTATTATAATGTTGCATTGACAAATTTGCACCACTCAGGTGACCCTGAAGACATAGATAAGACTCAAAAGAATGCAAATGAACAGCTGTCTGCAGGAGTATAAATCTTTCCATTCCCCACCATCCAGTCAGAGCTGAAGAAGCTTCCTGGATGAGAAGCAAAACATCTTCAAAGAAAAAACAAGAAAGTCCAGTTGCCTTGTGAAAAAGCATCTTTGGGATAACTATGACCCGGATGACTGAGAAGCTCCATAGACATCTGGCAGTAGCTTACAGCTGGAACATTAAAAATGAAACTAAAGGCTTAATTTTGGCTGCACAAGAATAAGCTATTAGAGCTAATGCAATCAAGGTCAGAATTGAAAAACCATCAAATGATTCAAAGAAGCAGAAAAAACAGATCATATACCCAGCTTTTGCAAGAAAATTGCACAACCTGATTATAAAAAATGACACAGTACAGTTTCCAAAATGATTCACTGGAACATCTATAACAATGGTGGCGAACCTATAGCATAGGTGCCAGAGACGGCACTCAGAGCCCTCTCTGTGGGCACTTGCGCCGTCGCCCCAGTCCTAGGCCTTCAGCTGGGTTTTATAAAACTTTCGCTTTAGGCCTCCGCCGCCGTGTGCAAAGAAAAAGGTTCAATCAGTCAATTTCAACTTCTCGCGGGGAAAAAAAAGGTCTTGCAAAGTTGGAATTGATTGAACTTTTTAGTCCGACCCAGTCTGCCGTTACCACCGCAGCCACGCCCACCCAGTGGGCCATGCCCACCCAATGGGCCACACCCACCCGGCACTCGACGATGCATAAGTGGGTTTTGGGTTGCAGTTTGGGCACTCAGTCTCTAAAAGGTTCGCCATCACTGATCTATAAAAATGATCATGTACTAGTAATGAAAAATTGGTTGGGATTGTCCACCATCGTTCTCTGGTATCCTGCCATCGTGCTGAGGGGGGAGGGGGGATGGCATGCTTGGGATTTTTGCTTCTGCTATTCATTTGGGAATTACAGAGGGGGACTGTCTTCAGAGACAGGACAAATTCCTTCCAAGCCGGTTTTCACCAGGTTCCAAGGCTGTCGTGCCCTGAGTGTGAACTATTATCTGCCGAGCACATCAGCATTCTCAAAACATCTTCTCTGCATCTTATTGTCTGGTGGTGAACTGGTCAGGGGGTTGCTTTATGCTTTGCGCAGGATCTTCAGATTCCACCTGACTTTACTGCATCCATTTTATCTCCTTTGATTCAACTCAGTGGATTTGATAGTTTTACTCTCCTGAGGGGGCTGACTGGGGCAGATCTGATGGATGTGGAATTTAAAAAGTAGGTGAATGAGCAGGTTAAAATATTTTGAAATTTCTGAAGAGACTGATAAGTTTTGGCTCATAACACACCAGAGATATAACTGTGGTTGAAAAGAAGAAAGTATGGATAATCGATGTGGCAATACTATGGGATAGTAGAGTAGAAGATAAAGAATTAGAGATCACATAGCATTAAGAACTGAAAATTGAAACTGAAAGATTATGGCAAAACTGGCCGTGGTGGGCCCAGTGGTTATCATCATACTGGGTGCCATACCAAAAAATCTTGGATGGCATTAGAAAATCTACACCTTGACAAAATTTCCATTTGACAATTGCACAAGGCCACACTGCTTGGATCTGCACATACAGTATATTATGCCAATACATTATGATTTCCTAGGTTTTTGGGAAGAACTCAATGAATATGAAGGCCAACACCAGCTGAAGAACTGGCAGATGTGAATTCACATTTTTATGTTTATAATAATCAAATAACATCAAGAGTGAAGTTTGTTAAACCCAGACTTCTTGTTCTACAGAATGTCTCCCTAAAAATACCTGCATATTTACCCATACTAGGAAAAGCAAAATAATTCACTTGATGAAATATTTTACTCTAAAATTTAAGGATGTGTTCTTGGTGTTATGGTTACTGTTTGGGGGAGAGGATGAAATTTGCCCATTAACTGAATGGCTGGAGTGGTTATGTACTCACTGATAAAACAAAAGAAAAAGTCAGATGGGGCAGAAAAGCCCTAAGGGCATCAAGGGAAGTGACTTTGGGCACATTTAACAAGAAAGTTCTAGCATGCTATTGGCAGAGTTCACTTGGGCTGAGACATTCTCTTGTGGGCAGTGAGTCTAAAGCAGTGGTTCTCAACCTGTGGGTCGGGACCCCATTTGGGGTCGATCGACCATTTCACGGGGGTCGCCAAGCAAGGCTGTCCGCCATTTTTTTTGTCCGCCATTTTTCCCCTTTTCCGGCGGGTGCCTTACCTCCCTTGGGCTGGGCCAGCTGGTGGTCGGCCTGCTCCGTCTCTGCCGCTTGCCAGCTACGCCTCAGCCGGCGCAGGGGGCGGAACCACGCATGCGCGGCGCTCCCGGGCAGGGAAAGTCCTCGACTTACGACCGGTTTAGTCCTCAACTTACGACCGGTTTAGTCCTTGACTTACGACCGGTTGGGGTCGCGGCATTAAAAAGGTTGAGAACCACTGGTCTAAAGGCAGCATAAATATCAGAGTCAGAAGTAGTTATCTGAAGACTACAGCTTTGCTTCTTTGAAAAAGCACTGATTACTCAGTATATTTGTTTTCGTGTTATTTTTGTGTTTTCAATTACTGTGAGGATTTTTGATTTTCTTGTTTAGTTAAGAAGTTGTGTCCAACTCATTGTGACCCCATGGATCATAGCACAACAGGTTTCCTTGTGCTCCACTGTCTCCCAGATTTGTCCACATTCATATTCATTACGTCATGTTCTTTGTTTTATTTTGATAGCTAACCATGTTTTACTGGAGAACTCATTTCAATGCTTTGTTTGCAGGAACTGGGCAAACAACAGGAAAACTTGAAAGATATTGGTGAAGACTTTGGAAAAGAATATAACTTTTCAGAGTCAGAGCTGGGAGGCATTACAAAGGACTTCTCTCCTCCTCCTCAAGACCAGCCTCACAAAGACAGTGGTACAGAGGGCCCATCTTATTCTTATGATGCCAAAGGACTTTTTCAAAGTGGTGGGAGTGGAGATGCTTCTGCAAGCCAGAATCCCATTTCTTCCAAAACAAATACAAAGCTATTTGAAGGCTTTAGGGACCCCGGGAATCCTTTTGCTCTTGTCTTTGGGCAAATCCGGCCTTTTCACCAAGACCATTCCCCTGTTGGTGGATTAACAGCTGAAGACATTGACAAAGCTAGGCAAGCTAAAGCAGATCCACAGCAAAAGCCTCACAAACAGATGGTAAGTAAGCTATTTCAGGGAAGTGGAAAAGCTTCTGGTACAGCAACCTTTATGTGACCAGTCTCCCTGTTTAACTCTTAGTTACTTGGTGTCTGGGTTGTGTTGGGAGATATATGGTAATTCCTATTGTTTTTAATTAACAAACTTTTGGCTTTTCTTATAGACCAATTCATATAGTGTGAAATATACTGAGGAATATTTATTCCTCAGTATAAATATTGTAGTATAAGTAGGCGATATTGCTATTTATTTAAGGTAAAGGTCCTATTAACCTATTAGTTTATTTGACAAATTCCTAGCTGGTTTCTATCTTGGAACTCTACTGTGCCCTGCCCTTTTTAGGGAAATAACATGATGTGTGAATCTGCTTGTTGCTTATTTATATGAATTTATTTTCTTTTTGATTGCATGTTCCTGGAATGGACTGACAGAGAGATTTTAGGTTAAGATAAATGTGCACAGATTTGTTCCTAGCTTTTTCACATATGAATCATGCACATTTCTAAGATTCTTACTACACTTTTTTAATTAAAAAACCCTCTAAACAGCTAATTAATATATCTTGAATTGGTATTTTTAAAAAAAATATTTTTATTGATGTTTTTGTGGTATACTATCTTTGAAGTCTTGGCAATCAAACCTCAGAATAGGGAGAGCTTAACATAATTTAGTATTTTATTTAGTTCTGATTTTCTAAGCTAGATGTATGTGGATGTCCTCTCAAAATTAGTTCAACTTTCCTAACAACCAGACATTTGTTTAGAAAGGTCATGATATTGCCTAGAAATAGACATCTTCTTTTTAACATTTAACAGGTGTTCATCTTTCATTTGCTGGACATTTGATATTTTGCTAAATTGTTGGAATGGTTAAGAAGCTAAGATTTGTTAGTTGTTTTTCTTTTGTCCATGAAATTAAAAGTCAAACAGGTGCAGCGAAGTTTGCTTATAATTCTTTTTTGCTTTGGATTTTTTTAGAAGAGACAATTCTGTTTATTCTGTACCCCCAAATACATTGTGATTCAGTTCCTATAATTTCATTGGCCATGCTTGGTTGGAATTATGGGAATTGAAGTCCAATAGTCCAAAGAAGGAGAACATTAAGTTAAGGAATGCAGCTTAAAAGGACACCATTGAATAGAACATGTTATAATCACTGCAAAGAACTGAATGATTATGATATTCAGGAAATGACCTGAAGTATACATTACTTTAAAACAAAAATACTATTCTACTGAATTGAAAAAAAGTAAAAATAATAATATGAAGAACAGTTTTAGAGGAAATTCTCTTAAGTATTAACTCTCCTGGCTTCTCAGAGCTTCTGGCTGTGATAATGCCCATCTGATGTTTTAGTTTACATCAGGCATGAGAAACTGCCAGCCCGCGGGCCGAATGCGCCACGCCAAAACCGCACCCACTCCATTACTGGCAATGGGGAAAAAGTCCCGATACATCACGTGATGTCACATCCCACAGAAAGCAAAACAAAAACAAAAACAAAAAAACCCCAAGACATACAGCTGGCCAAATTACACTCAAGAAAGGCCAGGTTCTGCCTAAATTGGATACATATTAAAATGGAATTTGAAGTTGACAGCAGTGCTTATTCTGATTAAGTGAAGGCAAATAACCATAATACCTTGTTCACTTTGTTTTTTACAGAACAAAATGTGCATAAAACAAGGTACTAGGGTAGGGGAAACAAAGTACTTGTATAAATGGCTGAGTTTCTAATAGTCCCATGAATTGGTGAACAGATGTAAAAATCGGGTAGATAAGAGTAGCTGTGTGTTGCTTTAATAAGTTTAATTTTGAAATAATGTTATTTGTGTGGCAGAAGTTCCTAGCACTTGATGAGAAAACTCTTATTTTAGACCATCTGCTTGTGAAATATATATATTTTTGTTTATTAGCAGATCAAGCATCTGTTTATGCTTTTTTAAAAATCTTGCAGCTCAGTGAACGTGCCCGAGAGCGAAAAGTGCCTGTTACTCGAATTGGAAGACTTGCTAACTTTGGAGGTGAGTCTCTTAATTTAGAAAAAAAAATGATCTGAAGATGGAAAATTCTGAAAAGACTAAAAGTCTGCATGTTACGTTCAGAGAAAGAATTGCTCATCTGTTAGATGGCCCTGTGCTTTGGCTCACAGTCTTCGATGAAACACAAAAGAGGTGGGGGAATGAAGGGTAGAGAGAACTGCTCCTCAAAGCCAGAAAAAAATGGCAAGTAACCATCAATAATAAAAAAATATACATGTACATATTTAAATATAATGGGTAAAAACTTGTATTGAATTAAAACTAATATATTGACAGAAGCCAGGTTCCTAACCATTCAGTAATAAGCCTTCATGAAAACACACACACACACACACACACACACACACACACACACACACACACACACACACACCATAGCCCCAATTAAAAAAACAAGTTTAAAAAAATACAAAAAAACAGAAGAGGATAATATTAACCACAATATGGCCTGGTTTTGAGGGGCTTGGAGCTTATTTTATTTCTGCGAGGAGAAATTTCTACAAGATGGGCATTGTGGCAGAGAAGACCAACCTTTTGAGTTCCACCAGATGTAATTCCCTGGCAGGTAGGACCCAAGATTTACTGAGATTTCTTTTAGGAATCAGTTGAATTTCAGGAAAATCTCTTAAGGAAACTTTTTTATTAACACAATTTAATAGATCACTTCTGGCCACCTTTTTTCCCCCTACAACCCCAGTCTTTTGAGGATTTTGAATTAGTTGTAATAATGTATTGATAATACTTCAACTAATACTTTCCATATCAACTCATGTTTAGAGAGGAGAGAAGGTTCTGAGATTTTTCATCTATTAATTGAAAGTTGTCGAATACCATGGAAATTGATAGGCTGGAGAAGCAGGGAAGGAATGTCACCTTTCACCAGGCCTTTTTGGCAGCCAATGTGAAGTGAGCACATATTAGTTAAAAGAGAAGTCTCTCTGTTTATGACCTTTCCTCTTTATAGCCAGAGTTGGCATCTATCCTTTATTTTCATTTCTCCCAGATGAGATTTACTTCTGTATATTTTTTGAATGTTTCTGTTTGTATAACAGAGCGATAAGGAACCTGGCTTTCACTAGGCAAGTTACCACAGGCCACTGTATGTACTATATACTATCCCATGAAACATAAAAGAGTAAACATTTCCTTGAGCCAGTAGTTGAAAGGACTGCATGAGTGCCATTTTTGTTTCTTACCACTTGGGCTTGTAGTATATACTTCCTGTTTGTTGAATATAACCAGGCTGTAAGATGTTTGATATAATATCAGAAATAAATTCTTTCTGTGGCCGTTGGAAGTCTTTTAGCACTTTTAAAAATATACTATGTTTACTTTGGCACAATTTTTATGTGACATGCGTATGGATGTGCAAGAAGGTGGAACAGAGAATATATTGAGAGATCCCTGAGGTTTGTTAGCTTGGGATAAGTTACTGTTATCTAACAACAGTAGCAGTTTAAAACTGTACGCTGTCCTACATATTTGGTTTCCAGAAAATGATACTTGGGTAGTTAGAGAATGAGAAATATCTTTTTGTATGAAAATATTTGGTTCTTTTGATTCTGGTAACAAATACCTAGAGACTGACAATGTGCTCAGATGCATCTTATTTCATTCAGTAGTGGATCTTGTGGTTATATTAATACTTATTTTTCTGTCCATACGTTCTGCAAATTGGGGTTATATCTGTTTCAAACATAGAAAGTACTTTGTCAAAAAAAGCATCTGCTGTGCCCTAAAAAACATCTAGAATTGTAATTGTTTTCAAGTTGGTCCTAGTTGGCCTATCTTTTCCTAAACTGTTTGTGCTTTAGAGTTAGCTAATGAAAATATGCTTTCTTCACCTATTTTGGATTTTTACCCTTGATCCTTTTAGCAGGGTGAGGACCTGATAATGGTAATTTCTTCCGAATACATTAGTGCAGTGGTTCTCAACCTTTTTAATGCCGCGACCCCAACCGGTCGTAAGTCGAGGACTAAACCGGTCGTAAGTCGAGGACTAAACCGGTCGTAAGTCGAGGACTACCCAACCGGTCGTAGGTCGAGGACTTTCCCTGCCCGGGAGCCCCACACATGCGTGGTTCCGCCCCCTGCGCCGGCTGAGGCGTAGCTGGCAAGCGGCAGAGACGGAGCAGGCCGACCACCAGCTGGCCCAGCCCAAGGGAGGTAAGGCACCCGCCGGAAAAGGGGGGAAAATGGCGGACAAAAAAATGGCGGACAGCCTTGCTTGGCGACCCCCGTGAAATGGTCGATCGACCCCAAATGGGGTCCCGACCCACAGGTTGAGAACCACTGTATTAGTGTGTTAAATAAAATTAGAGGCAGAGAGGAACATTTATGAAACACTGTACTGGAACAACAATGGCCATATTTTGTTTTTAAGACAGGGGTCCCCAACTCTGCAGACTGCGGCCCACTTTTGGGCTGTGGCCTGTTTGGAACTGGGCCTGTGAGTGGTGGGCCAGGGTGCATGCGCGTGTGCGGTGGCCTACCGCTTGTGCAAGTTGAGTTGCACGTGTGCACACATTCCCCCCACCGGGCCTCCAAGCCACAAATGTTGGGGACCACTGCTTTAGACAAAACGTAGGCTGCTGTTTTGTCTTGAACCAATACAAATTGGGAAGAGGAAACAGCCACACAAATAGGTTGGAATTATTATTTGACCAGATTTTCAGGACAGCATAAAGCTTTAGTTTACCTGATTCAGAAATGTAGAAAATTGTGATAACGCTTGTGATATGCTTCAGGCGAGAACTAGTTTAGCCCTGAAGATGCTACTTAATCTGGTAATGAAATATTTGCAAGCAAACATCCAAGCTCATAGAGCACTCAGCACTTCATAATTTAGCCCTTTTCAGCCATTTTCAAAAGGTAAACTTTCCTTATTCTTTGTGATTACATTCTTTGCAATGCTCCTTTTCTCTGTGTACACATTGTATGGACACATTGCACAAAGTAAAAGAAGAAGAGAACACAGCACGGTGGATGGACTCTGTTACAGTGGCAATGAGTGTACCATTGGAAGACCTGAAAGAATAGGCTAGGGACAGATTATCTATGTGGTTGCTGCGAGTTGAAAACAACTTGATAGCACATAATTAATCATCCATAATTATCGCACATTGTACTGTACAATACAATTTCATTATTTTGAAGCAATCATTTTTTATGTGCATTCTCATCCATAGCATCTTTTGTTTTTCGTTTTACTAAGCTTCTTTCTACTATTGTAACTCCTTATGCCTCTCTGGAATATAATTCTCACTTTATCCCAAGCAGTTTTCATGTTCACTTGCATCCATTTTTCACTCATTCTATTTGTCGATAATCTTCTAAAACGTTTTCACAGAGGACTTACATGTTCTGTTTCTATATTCATTCTGTTTTTACTCTGGTTTTTAGAATTTCTTTTTTCCCCCAAAATCAGTTTTTTTCTCTTTCAAGATTCACTTTTTTTCTTGGAAAGGGTGGTTTGTGTTACATTGAGAGAATCCTTCATCATCCTTTCATTTTTCAGTCTTTCATCGCAACATCCAAATCAGTTAGACTGATTCCTTTCTTTATACACATTAATAGACTTAACATTTAAACCACAGAGTCAAAACAATTAGATTTTTCTCTAAGCATCCCCTTTTTCTTACATTCTTTGGTCTCCAAATAATTTGAGATCTGCAGATATATGGCCATGTGGCAATGTCTTGCCTTAAGGAATTTGAGGGATTTAAGATGAGGTCATTTGTGCTTTTTTAGCAAAGTAGTAGGCTTTCCTATTGAAGGATTACTTTAGGTAATGGGTAAGGAGTACACCAGGAAACCTGTGCAATCTTGTGGCCATCTGTGCTCCAAGAATGACTCTTGGGCCTGTTGGCAAATGCCGTGTTTTTAATTTTTCTGGTAACTGAATTCTAGTTGGTCTTCTTGGAGTACCGTGCTAATGCTCTCAGTCCTCTTTTAAGGGCAATAAGTGTTAATTTTAACGTTTCAGCTTTTAACGCCTAATGATTTAAATCTTTTGTTTTGTATGACTATTTGTGACATTGTAAGCCGCCCAGAATTTCTTGATAGTGAGATGGGCAGCATACATATTTAATAGAAATAATAAATAAATACAGGTAATAACGGTTTGAATTAATGGCTTCCAAACAAGTCAGCTACAACCTAAATTGGAACTTATGATCATTGCTCTGCCCCTGTGGTCACATGATCATAATTTGGGCGCTTGGCAACTGGCTTGCATTTACAACCAGTTACAGTATCCTGCAACCATGTGATTGTGGTTTGTGACATCAGTGAAGGTTTGTGACATATTTTTAGAACCTAGAAGGTTCAGAATATTTCAGAAGTGTACTGAGAGTATGATAAACATCCTGCAAGTATTGTATATATTTTCCCTCCCTGAAAAGTACTCTTTCTGAAATTATTCTTTGTGTGTGTGCATGTTTGCTTTTGAGTCAATTTTTTGACTCCTAATAATGGCCTGGACAAATCCCTGCAGTTTTCTTGGCAAGATTTGTAAAACGTGCTTTGCCATTGCCTCCTTCATGAGAAGGAGTGACTGGGACAAGGTCGCCCCGTTATCTTCATTCTTAAGGCAGGATTAGAATTCACGGTGTTTCAGTTTCTAGCCCGATGCCTTAACAACTATACCAAACTGGCTCCCATAAAAAGGAAATGGTTAGAATTTATATTGAAGTTGAGGAAATGAGGAAAAAGAGTAAGCAGTTCATCTAGTGTACCATGCAGAAGTTTTCATTATGAAACTCCAGGAAAAAAACAGCTTGATAATTTTACTAATGCATTGTCTGGCAACTGAGCATGCTCAGCTGCAATCTTCAGCATATACAAAACCAACTGAAATATGTAATGTAAATTTAAATAAAATGTGTGCCACCCAGAGTCTTTGTAGAATTGGGTGGCCTTATAAGTACAAATAAATATTTCCTACAATAAACAGAATAAGAATAAGAATAGAATAGAATAGAATAGAATAGAATAGAAGGGACCTTGGAGGTCTTCTAGTCCAGCCCTCTGCTCAAGCAGGAGAACCTATACCACTTCAAGACAAGTGAGTGTCTAGTCTCTTCTTAAAAACCTCCATGATTTCTGAAGACAAACTGTTCCACTGGTTAATTGTCCTCACTGTTAGGAAGTTTCTCCTTAATTCCAGATTGCTTCTCTCTTTGGTGAGTTTCCAACCATTGCTTCTTGTCCTGCCCTCTGGTGCTTTAGAGAATAGTTTGATATTCTCTTCTTTGTGGCAGCCCCTCAAATACTGGAATACTGCTATCATGTCACCCCTGTTTCTTCTTTTCTTTAGACTAGCCAAACCCAAGTCCTACAGCCGTTTTTCATGTTTTAGTCTCCAGGCATTTGATCATTTTAGTTGCTCTTCTCTGAACTTTTTCCAAAGTCTCAACATCTTTTTTGTAGTATGGAGACCACACTTGGTTGCAGTATTCCAGGTGTGGTCTTACTAGGGTTTTATAAAGCGGTACTAATACTTTGTGTGATCTTGATTCTATGCCTCTGTTTATACAACCCAGGATTGTATTAGCTTTTTTGGCTGCTATTGCACACTGCTGGCTCATAGTCAAGTGATCGTCCAATGCTTAGAACTTAGTCTAATGTTCACTATTATTTTGTGTAAATGTTGCTTAGCAAACATGGCATGATTGTATTTATCTCCACTAGTCATAATGGTGAACACTGAAAAATGAGGAAAATTAATGTTTCAGATTTCAGTGATGTGTCCTAGAAAGAATTTCAGTGTCGATACATATGAATACCCATGAAGATGTAACTGTATGCCATTGTCATTTTAACTTACTTCCTCTTCCTCCTTTTTTCTTTCTTTGTTCATTTAAGGCTTAGCTGTTGGCCTTGGCATTGGAGCATTGGCAGAGGTTGCAAAGAAGAGTCTTAGATCTGAAGAGCGCAATGGTGAGTTTTTCTTTGTTTGCTGTTAATAAGAGCTCCCAGTTTCTGAACAGTCCTTGTTTTTGAGCATGCCACGTTATGCAAGCACAGAGAATAAAAACTCTTTGAAATAGTTGTACTAATGGATAACGTGTGAGCGTACTTTTTGCTTTTAGCTTTATTTTCTCCAGACATTATCTGCATTTTTTATTTATTTTGAATTAATATTTTAAGAATAATGGTGGTGATGATGCTGTTCATTGAAGGAAGACAAAGACTGCCTCTTGTTCCTTAGGAAAGATTTGGGGGGGGGGGGGAAACTGACCTATGAACTGAGAATGAGGCATTCATCTTTTGGAAGAAATCTTCTGTGTCTTGGACTTGATCAATGCAGATGTCTAACCTGTTTGCTTAACAAAACATTCGTGCTGGATTGTCTTATTTTACTGCGACCTTTGAACTTTATTTTGAAAATTGACATATTTTTCCTCTTAGATTTCTGTTTATGTTGATACAGTATGTTCTCTGTGTATACACATACACATGTGCACAGATTAAAAATGTAGCTGTTCTTTTTAAAAGCTCTCTTGTTTGTCTATAAACAGTCAGGTGCTGAAATAAATGTTACATAAAAAGAATCTAAGATAAAGGAGCCAGGATTATTCTACATAAATTTGTAGCAAGAGGACATTGTTTTACTCAGATTGCTGTCTTACAAGTGAACTTGCCCAATTAAAGTTCATTAAGGTAAGGGGATGTGAAGGAGGTTGGACTTTATTCTGTCCAAAGCACTCATGCTTGACAGGCATACATAGGATACCTTTTACTTGGGCAAGAAGAAGACTATCATGCAGACATTTTGTTGCCACATTTTGGGCTGTTTACGTCACTTTCAGTTACTTCAACAAAGAATACTTCAACGTTGTTAGTGGCCAAGTGTGACTAAGCCAAACATTGACAAGAAGTTCAATGTTGGGGTCTTAATTACTAAATAATGGACAGCTGTCATCTTTGCAACAGCTTCTTGAAGAATGCCTATAGGAGAGTAACATAAATAACATAAGTAACTCTGCTTGAAACCTAACTCTAAATTCCCAACAAGAGTATGTTTTCTGCTGTTATCTGGCCATTTAGCTTTGAAAGGAAAAGATATATTTTCATAGCAATACTGACCATTAAGCCAGTCTTATGTGACTTTGACAAGACCTTGGTATTTTAATATTTACAGTCTAACTTTTATAGTCATTATGCTAGGTATGGCAACAAGGAACTAGGTATGTTTAATTTAACAAAGAGAAGGATTAGGGGTGACATGATAGCTGCCTTCCAATACTATACACACACACATACACACATACACACACACACACACACACACATACATACATACATACATACATATTAATTAATTAAATCGCTTTCAAATTTGCTCTGTTTCCCCGGCCATTCTCTGTCTAAAAAGATTTTAAAGATTCATAGCTAACCTGCCTGATTTCTTTGCTTCCCTGATGATGATTAAATTAATTAGTTATCATTGATGGTATTTATATGCTGCATTTCCTTGTATACTCCCAATATGATATATAATTATCAAACAAAAGCACACCGAATTAATAGCAATAAAATGGCATTTAAAACTTGACAATGGATTCCAATTTTTGTCCAAAATGCTGAGTTTGTAACTTGTACAATAGGACTTCTTGGGGCAATAGTTACAAGCTAAGGGCAGAGTATCTGAAAGAGTCTTGAGAAGCAGGCATGGATATTATCCGTGTACTTCAGTGCATATTCACTCTACATAAATAAAATAGTAGCTTCAGAAAATGGTGCAAAATTATCTGCGGTCTATCTGAAAATGGTTGGGGAAAAATGACAAATTCATAAACACAGAATCTGCTGTACTGTAAACTGCATGGATAGAAAGATGAGGCATTCGGTGTGAGTACATTCACACCATTGGCAGAATCCTTGAAAGCATGCCTTTGCTGCAGTCTGGTTTCAGCAGACCTTTCCCAGGACGTTGGTTGTGCAATAGTTCTATTTACATTTTCCTGTTTTCAAACAGTACTTTGTTTAACTGGGCACTCCCCGATCTGAATACAGGCAGAACAAAACTAATTATAAGAAGTTAAGCTTGTGGCTATTAACTAGTTTAAAGTTAGAGAAATGAGGGCAGATTGATCTTATTTCCTGAGAGCTTTAAGTAAAAAGAGAAATTAATTGTTAAGGGCTTTTGTTTTCTACTAATTTGAAGAGCCTTCATACAGAAGTGCCTTAGACATTTTTGTGCAGCTTTCAAGTTCAAAGGCTACTTTTTCTGACAACTTTTTTTTTTGCCACTGTTATGCATAGCTTACATAATACAACATAATGCCCAAGAAAGAACTATGAATGAATATCATAGGATCCATTTTGAGGCCTGTTTTTCCATTTAGCTCTTTTTTGTCTTACAACTGAATTTTCCACCTGTCTGTTCTGTCATTCATTCCAGAGAGCTTGCAACTAGAGCTTTGTGGTTTCCTCTCCCCCCCCCCCCCAGGGTTGATGTCACCTTGTCAACAAGAGCAACAGGCTTATTTTGTGCTTATAGTTGGGTTAAGACATAGAAGCTTCAGGACTGTGGCTGAAATAATGGATATGTCCCCCCCCCCCATTTTAATTCCTTAATAACCTTTTTTTCTCAGTATATAGTTAAAGAGCCACAAAGCAGTCTTCAAATGAGAAAACACACTTGTAGTGCAACTTTTACTGAAATTAGATGCTGAAAAAAAGAGTGCAGTATTTGCTTCAGAGAAGGCCACACTTTTGCCATCAGTTATGACAGCCTTCCACAATCTGGTGTTGTTTTTTTTAGGAATGTTGGTTTTCAAATATTGCCTTGTGGGCACTGAATTGGAAAGTTGAGTGATAAAATTCCAGATTCTCATGTTTATAACACAGGAACTTGTTAGAGTTTTGCCAGACAGAAGAGGCACAGAAGAAAAATGCTATAAAACAAATATCAAAATAATGCAACATTAAATCAACAACTGTCTAATTCGAGGGAACATATTTTAGAAAAGACCAAATTAATTGGAAGAACACATAAATGTGTGTAATCTTGATGAAAATAATATTTCACATATTCAAATTCAGTATCTTTGTTTAAAATGATATTATAACTAACAAAAGGAGCCAATTTTGATTGAATTTATTTTTTCAGTGAAGAGTTGTTTTGTTTTGTGTATTTTTATCTAAATAAATATCTCCCCCTCCCATTTTTAATCATCACTGATCCAATGAAGCATGCACTTTAGTTTTGCAACATTTTGCAATAACAGTTTTAATGCTCAACCAAATTTATTTCTTTTGTTGCACAAATGTATAGATAATTGGTAAATATAGACAGTAAACAGTCTGTTGGGTGGTTTCTCTATTTTCTCCAGAAATATTTGATGAAAAACAACAAATTAGTTTTCACTACTGCTTATTGGCTTGACTCTAATGCCAAGTTGTGGTTTGCCATAGAGTAGAAAGCTGCAGACCCTAGGTTTGTGCAAGTATATGTATATATTTAAATATTGGACCCTCTGTCTTAATGGCTGTTACAGCAAATTATTTTAAATAAAGTATGTGTGGGCAAGGAAATGCTTATTTTAAGCATGAATTGCAGATGAGAGTTACTATACTACCAAACAATGTGTAAAAAAGCTTTTTGATTAACAGTGACTTTCAGAACCATTGTAGTGGTTTTGGTGGGAGATATATAAGCCACATTAGGTGAAAGGAGAGTGTTTCCAGGAATATAAAATGAAATTCAATCTTGATACGCCCTCTTGTGTTGGGGGATGAATGAACTTGAAGATCAGCTTTATTAAAAGTTCAGGGGCATGATTTAACTTTCAGTATTGCAAAAACAAGTACATGATTATTGAGCCAGAGAAACACTTTGTGAAGTATTTATGATCGGATGAAAAACATAGTATGATGGATTATATTGCCTCAGAATACTTAGAAAAATTGCTTAGATGAATGCGGCCCCAGATTATGCAGTTTTGTTACTGCATGAAGCTGAAAATATTAACCAAGAAAAATAATTTTCTCTTGACCATGCTTCTTTGCACAGATAAGGAGTGTTTTCATTATGTTGGTGTATTCACACATGGACATGCACTCATGCATTCATGCACAAAGAAAGAGAACAGAATATCTTGAAGAAGGTATTCAATAGTTATTAGGCTAAAAGCATAGCCTTGGTAGGGAGGGAAGGAGGAAAAAACCAGAAGATTGTCCTGCCTTGATTCTATTTGGTATGAGTGAATATATAAGATGCTATCAAGATTCTGTTGTTATACCCTGTAACAGTAGAGTTCCAGTATTTTTTATGGAATCTATTTCTTGACCTGCCCACCTCAAAGGACTGACACACAGAATGCACAAAATATCCTGCAGAAAACCAGAGTAGGCACAGGTCGGGTGAGAGGTAATTAAAAATATGTCTTTGAATCACAGTCTCTAAAGAACTGGTAGAATATCTCAACTGGTTGACTTTTCAATTTGTCCTGGAGTTACAGTGGAAGCCTGTGTATAATTTGTAGACATTGCTAAAAATAATCTCAGTAGGATTTTCATATTGGCAAATTATGTTTAATAGCCAGCATTATATCCTGGCATTCCCATTTTTTTCCTGGTGAATAAATACAAACTTGGTCATCTGAATGGAATCAAAATATGTCTCTTCAGTTTTTATAAGGATTATTGTCTATATGCATAGGTAAAAAGTAAAGTTTACTGTCCTCTAGCACAGCGGTCCCCAATCTTTCTGGCTTTGCGGACCGGCGGAGGGGAGAGGGGATGGTTCTGTGTGACTGGTGGCCAAGTGTGCGCGTGCATCTCTTATTTGCACAAGCAGCTGGCACACATGGAGCTGCAACACGCAAGCGGAGCTGAGCACATTTGCCCGCCGCTTCCACAGCCTGGTTCTGATCAGGCTGCAGCCTGTTAGTGGGCTGCGGCCTGGTAGTCGGGGACCCCTGCCCTAGCATACTGTAAAGAGTAGTAAAAACAAGTGATCATTTGACAAGTCACAATTGGAGTTTTAGATATATTTTGGTTCATTATTTATATTTTTCTGCCAAGTTGGGGGAAGAATTTTACCCCATTTGCGTCTCAAAATTTCTGATCAAAATTTCTAATTTTCCAATGAATTTCTTCATCATTTGCTGATTGGCCTGGAACATAGCTGTATTAGAAAATACTATATTTCTCATATTTAATAAAACCAAAATGCAACAAAACCTGTGCAGGGTAGAAAAAAACATTTAGCTTCTCTCCCCCTTATATTTTTCTGTAAATTATTCCCTTTCTACTGTTTGCAGCATTAAATGTTGTTTCCTTAACCAAATTAACATCTTCTCCACATTTCTGTAGTTAAGAATTGCTTGTAGTTAAGAATTGTTTCAAACAGGATTTAAAGTATATATCTTATTATATAATGTGCATTTGGGCTCTTGGCAATTATGTGGAACTGTATGCTTGAGTTTTCTCATTTCTCACATTACGAATACTGTACACTTCTCTGTTTGTTTAGTATTTCAGAAAAGGGCTCTTGACTTCTTTAATCATTAACTTTCTCCTTAATATGTTACTTGCTGGAGATCCATTTGTGACCAGAAAAGATAAATTCAAGGAGATGGGGGTAAACAAGCTGTAAACAGATTTATCTTTAGCTCCTAAGGATATGTGAGCACATTATTTTTTTAAAAAAAATAGGGAGTTCTGTTTGTGCAATGGTTTAATGGTGCTAGTACAAAGGGAATTTGTATATAGGTAGTCCTTGACTTGCAACAGTTCATTTAGGGACCGTTCAAAGTTACAACAGCACTGAAAAAAGTGATTTATGACCATTTTTTACACTTATTACCATTGCAGCATCCCCAGGGTCATGTGACTTACATTTGGATGCTTGACAACTGACTCATATTTATGACGATTGCAGTGCCCAGAGTCATGTCATCCCCTTTTGTGACCTTCTGACAAGCAGAGTCAATGGCGAAACCAGATTCACTTAACAAATGTGAGAAAAGTCATAAAATGGGGCAAAACTCACAACATATTTCTCACTTAGCAACATAACTTTTGGGCTCAATTGTGCTCGTAAGCTGAAGGGCTACCTGTATTAGCATCCTTCTTTTAATCTTCTAAATATTTTCTTCTCTGCTGGTCCCCAGGAAAGAAGGCTGTTTTGGATTCCAGCCCATTTCTCTCTGAAGCAAATGCTGAAAGAATTGTGAGTACCCTGTGCAAGGTTCGAGGTGCTGCACTGAAGTTGGGACAGATGCTGAGCATTCAAGGTAAATATAATAAGTCATCTAGCCTTTTGCCCCCCCCCCCCTCCTTTTTAACACTCTTAAGTTTACTGCAGTGAAGTCCATATTGGGAAAAGCAAGGACGGTGAGCACATTCAACAATACTGGATAATAATTTATGACTCCGTCATTCCAGAGGGCATACAACATGTAGTTTCAGAGATGATATATAGCGAAAATGCCTTTCTCAGTAAATCTTAAAGGCGCTCCCCCTCTCTTAAAGGGAGAAGTCTTGTTGAAGTTTCATCCCTCCTAGAACCAACTAGAGGTTGATTTTGCTAAGACTGCAGATCTCTACTTGGATTGTTTTTAGACTTGATAAGTAGTTATTAATCTCATTTTTTCAAAAAGAACGTCGGCTCAATCTAATCCATTTTTATAGCCTGTCCTGTGCTGAGTGGTTTAGATTTCCAGTTGCTGGAAGAACTTGTAAGGATATCTAGGTGAATGTGATTGCAAATTTGAATGTGATTAAAATTCTTTCTCAGACTTATCCCACAATGCAGGAAGTTTGGAACAGGAATTTGTTGACAGTGTAAGGATATTGAGTGTAGGATTGCATCCCATGTCTGTTTATAACAGCTGGGTTCATATATCAAGCTGAACCATGGATTGTTTGACTAAGAACTCTGAATAAGCTATAGTTGGTAAGGCTTACATATAGTGCTAAGTTATAAATCATGTTTGGGAATTATATTTGCTGAATTTATATCACATACTAAGCCATAACAAGTTTTTTGCTTTTGCTTTGCACGGTGTATGAATCCAATCAATATATCAATATTGAAGTAGATTTTTTGTAGTTTTGATGTCATACTAGCCCCCTTTCCTTCTCCTGTTTAACCTAGATGTTGCTAAACATCTAGCCTGATGAAGGCTTCTGAGAAACATGAACCCTTGGTCATTGGTCATTCATCTTCTGATTAAAATAACATAACTAAAACCTCATATTTAAAAGAAAGTTGTATTTTTAAAAGAATATGAGAAATGAAAAAGTCTCAAAAACATTTAGATATCAGAAGAAAAAGAAAACATACTCCATTTTTCAAAGCAATAAAATGAAGAGAAAATGGAATGGCTTAGTGGCCAAGGCAGCTGTCATACTTTCAGAATCAGACAAAGGCAAACTTTTCTTAGAAACAATGACAAGAAAGTGATACTGCTCTGAAACCTGGTTTGGGGTACTTCCAAATACAGTTAGTTGTTTTGTGAGAAGCAGGCTATTGGGCAAGTTAAATCTTTGTTCTCTTCGGGATTAATATGTCAAGAGATGCCACTACATCTTAGCCTTGTAGTTCTCTACTATAGTTGCTTATATGTGATGTCTATTACCCATATCCTGTAAATAAAGAATTTATTTGACACAGCTTGGTAGATAGGTAGATATATCCACATAAGCTTTTACTAGAATTACTAGCGTTTGCCCCACAGATGTGAAGTGTTAGCTATGAAAGATTATGTTAAGAATACACAATCCTTCACAGTCTTCGCCCCCAGAAGATTGTTTTAGGTTGCTAATAGGATTATTTGTTAACCTTTAAGACACCCTAACATGTTGATATAATAGACTAACACGAGTCCCTTTCTGGAAATTGGGTTAGAAAATATTTCACTTATGTGACTAATATACCTATATTATGCTATTTCAATCCAGCAGTTCATCAGGTCAAATATAGAACTGAGTGTGTTATAAAAGAAAATGGAATTTAGATATAAATCGTGCTGTGCATACCCAGACCATGCAAAAGTGGAATTGTTAATGTTACCAGAATTGTGAAGCCAGGAGAAACATTTCCATAACAGCTGACAGCCCAGCCCAGCCTTTCCTGTTTAAAATTAAACATTTTTTCTATTATTAACAAAGCATTGCAAATGTTCTGGAGGGTTTCAAAGGGGTAAACAAAACTTAAGTGAAGGCAATATTAACAGAATCTGTGGACATACAATTTGTATTCTTTCTCTGAATTCTGACACTCTTTTGCTGAGTTTTGTGTTTTTCTTCCTCTGAAAAGAATCAGGAAACTGGCTGGCTGCCAACATCAGACATTTAGCTCAGTCTACTGTCAGTAATATTTGTTAATGTTTAAGTCAGTGTTAGTATAAATACTGTTTTATCGTTTTGCCTTTATTGGTTGTAAGCTGCCTAGAATCACCTCTAGGCGAGATGGGCAGCATATAAGTTTAATCAATCAATCAATCAATCAATCAATCAATCAATCAATATCAATCAATCAATCAATGGGTTGCTGCAGCCTGCTTGTAGTTGTTTCATGCCCTAAAACTAACTGCTAACTCTATTTTATGATTACTATGGTTAATAACAACTCACTGGGGAAAACTAGCCAGCTGAGTTTTATGGATTATCCATGCTTATAAAAGGATGGATATCAAGAAGAGAACTCATTTTTCCATGTACTTCAGTTGAGGCAATTGCAAAAAAGTCTTTTTAGGACATGTCTGATACACAGGAAAACTACAAAATGGATTGAATAGTATGCTACATAATGCAGGACAAATTTACCCAATGCAATGTCCTCCAGATATGTTTAACAAGAATTGCCACCAACCCTCAGCCAGAATAATTCAATATTTAATTCAGCATATCTGGAAGCCACCAAGTTGGGGAGGGTTGTAGTAGGGAATGCATAATGCTTTGTGGTAGCTCTGCTTCATTTTCTTAATCTATTCTCCTTCATTGCTCACTCTGTTTGCGTGATCTTACTTTCAACTGATTTCCTGATTTACCAACCCTAGCAGGTGAGTTCCCAACTATATTTGCTCTCTGTTCTGTCTCCTGTCTTTTAAAATGGTTTCCCCACATCCTTCACCACCTCTTATAAATATGCAACGTAGAGACCTTTGTCATCTGCACATGCCATAGCCTATGTTTTGGGTGCCTCTGCTAGATGGAAAATACAGATTATTCTTCTTACTTTATACCACTTTGGAATGATTCCTCCAGAAGTCCTTGAAGGCTTGGCAGACCTGTTAGTATATTGAAAGCAAGGCAGATATATCCAGAAAGAGACATATCTGGTCACATTGTTAAGATTTACATTCTGCTTTTTGGATAGAGTGAAAGACAGAATTGAGACAATTGAGAATTAAGAAGCAGCTGTCATCATGAGAATAATCTGCTTAATCGAGCTGTTTTAATAAGATTCAGTGAGGACAGCTCTGGAATAAATTATTTCAGCACTGAGAATCTCAGACTTGTTTCTTAAGAGCAGATGACACAGTAATTTTGTGGGAGTCTACATTCAGTATGCTTCTAAAAATAGCATATATAAAATTTAGCACCCCAAATTTTGCTTTCACACGCGGCAAATCCTTGGCCTGCATGCCCACTATTTTATTTGTGGCCTTCCTGCATGGAAGTGCCAAAATGTTTGAATTTGGTTGTGCACGTTGAGCCCACTTTTGGAATGTGGGAAGTTAAGGGTGGGAATGGGGTGACTGCCTGCTCCTATTTTCATCCATCCCACAATTTTTTTTAAAAAAATTGACCACACCCCTTCTGAGGGATGTCATAACATCATCAGACTGCATTGCCTCCTGTGTTCCTCCAGAAGATCATGAGTCTGAATTGCAGCCTCTGTTCCAAGAGACTTTACCCAATCCTTCTTTAGCAAAATGATTTTGAACCTTTTGAGCTGTAAGTGTAAATGTAAAGATTTGGTTGTAATAGTTATGATGCAAGCCTAGAAAAGAGGGTTCTTAAACGGGTCTCCTTTAAGCATGAAAGCCAACTGAGTGAATTTGGGCCTGTTACTCAGCCCTGCCCACCTCACAGACACACACAGAAAGACACACACAGCTTGATGAAAATGCAATAAAAACAAAACTCAGGGATAGATCAGAAGCAAGGATCCTGTCACTGTGATGAGCATAATGAGGATAAATTGTGCAAAATATATACATTATATACACTGTATTGGTCATCCTTCTTGGTAACAAAATAGCTTCCTAACCTGTTGCTCAGTATTTTGATTTAACACATAGAATGTGCATGATCTTCTGTGGTGTTATTTGTGCTGAGGATAAGAAAACCATAATGTACATTACACATTATGTTCCTATCACATAATGAACAAGTTAAAATGCTTGGTTGTGACTTGAGAGCAATAATAGACACTGGAAGTGAAGCCTTTTATAATTGTGGGCTGCACCATGTTTTTGTCATTGTATGATTGACCCTTGTTTGGGTTTTTGTTTCCATTCTTCTCGATAGATGATGCTTTTATCAACCCACAACTGCAAAAGATTTTTGAACGCGTTCGGCAGAGTGCAGACTTCATGCCTTTAAAGCAAATGATAGTAAGTCACTGGTTTAGGAACATGAGAGGTGAGAACTTGGGAACAGAAATCAGACCTTATAATTTATACAATGGCTCTTTATTCAGACTCTGGTATTAGGCAAATGGGTGAAACACCGGGCCTATTCTTGCTACACTGTAACCATAAAAGCTCAGTTTGCTATTTTATTTTTTTTTAAGAGTAGCTCTTCTTTGTAAGGAACAGTTGTGGGGCATACTGTGCAAGTAAATAGCCATTGGCTTTGAAACATACTGTTGATGTTTGTTTAAAATAGTCCATATGTTATAATATAGTATACAAGAAAGCCTAATATATATTTAGGTATGTAATTTTTTTTGTTTTTATTTTGCTGTTAGAAAACTCTGAACAATGATCTTGGCCCTAACTGGCGTGATAAATTGGAGTCTTTTGAAGAGCGACCTTTTGCTGCAGCTTCTATTGGACAAGTTCACTTAGCTCGTTTGAAGAATGGCAAAGAAGTTGCCATGAAAATCCAGGTGGGGTTTGTAGCTTCAGGGTCATCAAGTTTATCTCAACTGTATTTTCTGATAATGTATTTTGCAATAATACTGCTACTAGGGGCTATATTTCTAGCTTTTTGATGGGCCCACTGGCTGGAGGTTACCAATGCTCCTGAGTTCTGCCATTATTTAGCGTTCTGATATTTAGGAAAAACACCATACAAATTTCATATTAGAAATCAGAATTCAAAAAGACGTGTGCATCTGTATACCTCCAATGAAATAAATTAAGCCAAAAATCCCAAAGGAGTGAATGAAATGGGAAGTTGAAAAAACATTCTAGATGAAGATAATGGGAAAGCACTTTTGTATTATTTAAAAAATAAATAAATACACAAACATGCACTGGTAATGAGCAGAACCTGAGTTGTTCTTGATGATTATTTCATTTAAAACATTCTGAAAACGAAAAAAAAAATATTAACCACTTTGTTAAAAAATGTCCCATATTTAATCTTTTAACTTTAGAATAAGCGATTGGATTGAGCATTCTTTGCATATAAGGCAATAATTATTTGTTGCCAGTTGAGCATAGTTACTGCATTTGCCTTTTCCTTTTATGGTGAAGTCAGAGTGGGTAAGGGGAAAATAAGCTGCTTTATTGGGCAGCTTAGGCTGCGTCAGGCTCATGCCTTCACAGCTTGAGATCAACTGAGATATGATCTTAGATTTATTCTTTGGATATGACAATTGCAACTAAATTGGTTCATGTGTATTAAGTTTCCATGCCTGTTGATCAAACTGTCTGAATCTGCACTTGGTATCTAATTCTGGGAATAATTAATGGAAGCATTTTTTGTGTGGAAATCCTGGCATTGTAGTTGGCATAATTCTTGATTCTCTCAGAGTTCATTTCTATCAGTGGTTACATTGCTACTTGTTTTTCAAGAGTATTTTTTTTAATCTAGTGATCTAAGTTAGGATAGGAGGAATGGAACTGTTCTTTAAGCTGTTTGTGTCAGTCAACCATCGGGAGCAAAAATATTGAAATGTGAATTCACTCTTTCTTTAAAAATAGTTATGGATCCATCTGGGTTTTCTACTTCAGGATTTTGAGATTAGTTATACCTCTAAACACAGCATTTCTGCTTAGAAAACTGCATAATGGAAAAGAGATTAATTTGGAATATAAAGAGCCACTTATAAAGGATTTTTGCTGGCCTTTTGCTAATTGATACTAAATATGAAAGGCCATTTCCCTCACCCCCACCTGCAGAAGATAATTTACAAGCAAAGATCTTACTATCCTTCATATAACTCTCCAGAAAATAGTAGGAAAGACATTCATTTTAAAGTCTGCTAACAGTCAGTATAGATATTATAAAATTAGATTGAAAGCAGCCTCTTAAGATCCTCTGTTCTCTTTTCTATACCAGGCCCAAACTATGATTATATTCTTTAGACTTAAAGGGAACAAAGATATTTAAGTTATGTAGATGGATAATTAGATGCTTTAACTGGGTAAGAAAGCAGGAATGACCTTAGAAATATTTGGAAAAACATTTCTGTTTATTATTGGCATATGGCATATGACATGTAGCTCTGCACTATCAGGAACACTACAGATTCCCCTCCACTAATTTAAAGGATATGAAGACTCAGAATCAATTCTCTGCTCATCCTTGTCCTTTTCTGTCTTGCAGTATCCGGGAGTGGCCCACAGCATTAACAGTGATGTCAGCAACCTGATGACTGTCTTGAGTATGAGCAATGTTCTTCCAGAAGGTAAAACTGTTCAAGAGGAAGGGAATGTTAAGTTTCAGAGGTTTGTGTTGAAAGAGTTGATGGAAAGCTTCATCTGTTTTCCTCTTGTAAGCAGTACTCCTAGAACATATTGTGCAGTTGGGAAAGCCTCTGTGTTCTTGAGAAGTGCTTCCCACTGTTAACAGAGTAAGGAGATTTGGATGGGCCCCATACTCTTAGCCTTCTGTGAGAAACTTAAAACCTGGTTGTTCCTGTAGGCATTTGGGTGGGGAGGTTAATGAACTCTGCTAGTTGGTTGTAATAAATTCTGCTGGTTTTTTTTTTGATAAATTGGAAAAAAAAATCCTCGATGCTGAACTTTGGTTATGTGAATTAGTATTTTACTGTTGCTTTAACCTTTTTTGTATTGCCCAGAATAATCACTGTGAAATGGGTGGCCATATAAAATTTTAGCATAAAAATTAATATGCACCGTTTATGGCTTTAGCCTCTGTGACTATGCTTTACATAATTTGAAAAATGACCACATCTGTGGAAGAACACAGAATTTGTGCTTAGTTTTAAGTATACATAGAGAGAAGGTGAGAGAAAGATTAGTTTGTTGTGTTATATAGTACTCTGTCCTATTGGCAGTTTGTGGCCTTTTTCTACTTGAAAAAGGCCACAAACTGCTTTTCTATTTTTCTCCTTTCAAGTAGAAAAAGGCCACAAACTGCCAACAGGACAAAGAACACTGAACA